GGACACAGCTGGCAGCCCCCACACAGGACACAGCTGGCAGCCCCCACACAGGACACAGCTGGCAGCCCCCCCACACACAGGACACAGCTGGCAGCCCCCACACACACAGGACACAGCTGGCAGCCCACACACACAGCTGGCAGCCCCCACACACAGGACACAGCTGGCAGACCCCACACACAGGACACAGCTGGCAGCCCACACACACAGCTGGCAGCCCCCACACACAGGACACAGCTGGCAGCCCACACACACAGGACACAGCTGGCAGCCCACACACACAGGACACAGCTGGCAGCCCCCACACACAGGACACAGCTGGCAGCCCCCACACAGGACACAGTGGCAGCCCCCACACACAGGACACAGCTGGCAGCCCACACACAGGACACAGCTGGCAGCCCCCCACACACAGGACACAGCTGGCAGCCCCCACACACAGGACACAGCTGGCAGCCCCCACACAGGACACAGCTGGCAGCCCCCACACAGGACACAGCTGGCAGCCCCCACACACATCACACATCTGGCCGGCCTAACTCAGTACACAGCTGGCAGCCCCCACACAGGACACAGCTGGCAGCCCCCACACAGGACACAGCTGGCAGCCCCCCCACACACAGGACACAGCTGGCCGCCCCCACACACACAGGACACAGCTGGCAGCCCACACACACAGCTGGCAGCCCCCACACACAGGACACAGCTGGCAGACCCCACACACAGGACACAGCTGGCAGCCCACACACACAGCTGGCAGCCCCCACACACAGGACACAGCTGGCAGCCCACACACACAGGACACAGCTGGCAGCCCCCACACACAGGACACAGCTGGCAGCCCCCACACACAGGACACAGCTGGCAGCCCCCACACCCAGGACACAGCTGGCAGCCCACACACACAGGACACAGCTGGCAGCCCACACACACAGCTGGCAGCCCCCACACACAGGACACAGCTGGCAGCCCACACACACAGCTGGCAGCCCCCACACACAGGACACAGCTGGCAGCCCACACACACAGGACACAGCCGGCAGCCCCCACACACAGGACACAGCTGGCAGCCCCCACACACAGGACACAGCTGGCAGCCCCCACACACAGGACACAGCTGGCAGCCCACACACACAGGACACAGCTGGCAGCCCCCACACACAGGACACAGCCGGCAGCCCCCACACACAGGACACAGCTGGCAGCCCACACACACAGCTGGCAGCCCCCACACACAGGACACAGCCGGCAGCCCCCACACACAGGACTCAGCTGGCAGCCCCCCCCCCCACACACAGGACACAGATGGCAGCCCCCACACACAGGACACAGCTGGCAGCCCCCACACACAGGACACAGCTGGCAGCCCACACACACAGGACACAGCTGGCAGCCCCCACACACAGGACACAGCTGGCAGCCCCCACACACAGGACACAGCTGGCAGCCCCCACACACAGGACACAGCTGGCAGCCCACACACACAGGACACAGCTGGCAGCCCCCACACACAGGACACAGCTGGCAGCCCCCACACACACAGGACACTGCTGGCAGCCCACACACACAGCTGGCAGCCCCCACACAAAGGACACAGCTGGCAGCCCCCACACACAGGACACAGCTGGCAGCCCACACACACAGGACACAGCCGGCAGCCCCCACACACAGGACACAGCTGGCAGCCCCCACACACAGGACACAGCTGGCAGCCCCCACACACAGGACACAGCTGGCAGCCCCCACACACAGGACACAGCTGGCAGCCCACACACACAGGATACAGCTGGCAGCCCCCCCCACACAGGACACAGCTGGCAGCCCCCACACACAGGACACAGCTGGCAGCCCACACACACAGGACACAGCTGGCAGCCCCCACACACAGGACACAGCTGGCAGCCCCCACACACAGGACACAGCTGGCAGCCCCCACACACAGGACACAGCTGGCAGCCCCCACACACAGGACACAGCTGGCAGCCCCCACACACAGGACACAGCTGGCAGCCCACACACACAGCTGGCAGCCCACACACACAGCTGGCAGCCCCCACACACAGGACACAGCTGGCAGCCCACACACACAGGACACAGCCGGCAGCCCCCACACACAGGACACAGCTGGCAGCCCCCACACACAGGACACAGCTGGCAGCCCCCACACACAGGACACAGCTGGCAGCGTCGTGAGAGGAAGGTGCTCCACTTAGCGGCATTCGCCGCACAGACGTGGGGTCCAGGGTTCGAGTCTCCCACAGCCCAGATGAATGTATATTAAAACACTTGGGTTAATATGGGTTAATATATCACAACTATAGAGGATATATTTTGTAGTTATTGAAATATTACTACTGGTACAAAGGCCCATAGATAATTAGCCTAATCTAAGCCCAATAAAAATTGGTACGATAAAAAAACCATTTAGGATTTACTTGGATTTACAAGGATTTACTGTGATTTACAGGGATTTACAAGGATTTACTGTGATTTACAGGGATTTACAAGGATTTACTGTGATTTACAGGGATTTACTGGGATTTACAAGGATTTACAGGAATTTACAAGGATTTACAGGGCTTTACAATGATTTACAAGGATTTACAGGGCTTTACAAGGATTTACTGTGATTTACAGGGATTTACAGGGATTTACAAGGATTTATAGGGATTTACTGGAATTTGCTGGGATTTACAAGGATTTACAGGGATTTACAAGGATTTGCTGGGATTTACAATGATTCACAGGGATTTACAAGGATTTGCTGGGATTTACAGGGATTTAATCCTTAACTGTAGCCTCTATTAACCCAACAGTAAAATGAGTACCTGGTTGTTGAACGATTTGGCGATAGATATGTATATATATATATATATATATATATATATATATATATATATATATATATATATATATATATATATATATATATATATATATATATATATATATATATATATATATATATATATATATATATATATATATATATATATATATATATATATATAAGAGAGAAGATGAGGAGATGTCGAGGTTTCACAGCGTCCTGGACCATTATCAAGTCGACGGAGTAACTCGGTGACTCACCGTATGCTAAACAGTAGTAATATCTAAGGCGGAGTTCGTTGATGTTATTGGTAGACTCACAGTACACAGTTACAGCCACAACAGTCCACTGGAACATTGTCTAACACAGAGCACAGGCCATTATGGCCTCCCAATTTTCTATGGCATATTTCCAAACCAATCCAGGTCATTTTTAACTGAAGTTATCCAAGTTGCATTCATTATTTTGTATTGATATAAGAATTAGGTAGCACAGCATGGCATAGACTACAAATAATCTACCACTTGGTAGATGGTCGGGTAGACTGTCCAAGTGCCCAACCACTTAGGCACCATTCCTTCCCCCTCCCCCCCGTCCCATCCCAAATCCTTATCCTTCCCAGTGCTATATAGTCGTAATGCCTTGACGCTTTACCCTGATAATTGCCTTGGGTTCAGTAGAGGCAGTGTGTAAACAGCTTCTCTGACTATGGCCGGTGTTATGATAATAATCTTTTATTTACAAGAAGGTACAATGGGTTGGTTAGATTGCATTAGAGTGATATGTTTACATTCTTCCAAAGCTACAAAATAAGATGCAAAAGTACACTTTTACTTTGAACAAATCCACAAGGGCCGTGACGAGGATTCGAACCTGCGTCCGAGAGCATCCCAGACGCTGCCTTAATCGACTGAGCTACGACAGGGTCAAAAGGAATTGAAACCGAAGTTCTGCTGAACTTACTGGATCCTGCAGCCTCTCCGAGGCACAAACCAGGGTTTTACACAACTGTACAGTTTCACTTTTTTACAAGTAAAAAGTTTTATAGTTAATGGCTACACCTGTGTGTCCATCAGTGGTTCCGGAGAGACACCTTGTGAGTGGAAGCAGGATACACCACAGTATACATATCTCTCAATTAACATGCTGCTCGTGCATATTTTAGTGCACTTTATTGGGTGTGTTTAAAATCACATGTGAACAACACTAAGGATGTGAGAGTTAGGGCCAGATTCACGAAAGCACTTACGCAAGCACTTATGAATGTGTACATCTTTCCTCAATATTTGACGGCTTTGGGTACATTTATTAAACAGTTTACAAGCATGAAAACTTCCCATTCAACTGTTGTTATTGTTATAAACAGCCTCCTGGTGCTTCCGAGCTCATTAACTGTTTAATAATTGGAAACGGAGCCGCCAAAGATTGAAAAAAGATGTATAGGTTCGTAAGTGCTGGCGTAACTGCTTCGTGAATCTGGCCCCTGGCAGATCATCGTTTGTTGAGTAAGCGATCAAATGCGTTTATGAACGTTCTCGCTTTATACGTAAATATTACGTCAGAGGCGCTATCCTGCTGCTTTTCTGTTTTCGTTGTTTTATAAATGTTTTATGTAAGAAATAATATTATCTTTACTGATTATAATAGAGAGGAGAGAGCAGGAGGCGTATATATGTAACATTTGCTTCTCAACAACACATTCCTCCTTATCGATTTCTAGCCGATCGACAACACCATTCGTTATTCCTCTCAGCAATAGAATATTCCTGACTCAATTACTTTGACTTTGTCTTAGTCTATCATGATCAAATACATTTGCGCTGTTGTTGTTGTTTTTCTGGCGTTGAAAGAGGGAAATATCCCGACTCATTTAAATGTTGTTGGTTATTTATAATGGGAAATGTTTGAACGCAGCGCTGTGAGTGCACGTGATGGCGTGCGCGCGCACCTGACGTTGCCCGAGCCTTCACAAACATCCAGTCATTATTTAATCACACAATTTACCCAGTCAACCCTTGCTAGCAGTATCTAACTTTCAATATACTAATCATTTCAATAACTTTGTTATTTCCACTTGGTGTGTATCAGCCGGTATAAAGGTGTTAGACCGCGACAATATATGGTAGATAAGAGGGTGTGTGGCAACCGGCGGGAGGGAGCCGGGCCCACAGCCAGAGAAGAGCCTCAGTGTTGCCTCCCAGTGACGGTTGACAACAGCTGCTCGGCGCTCGAGACATGATCCTCAGATTCCATTTCCCTCTGACAATCGGTGTGATTTTTTGTGAGACGATAACAGTTGGTTAAACCACCAGAAGGGAATACCGAATCATAAACGGGATCTCTAAGCTCTAAGCGAGAAATTTAAGTGAGGGAGAGAGAGTATCGGGGGGGAAGTGCGGTGTTGCCGCTGTGTGTGTGCGGGTGTGCCACGTCGCCATGGAGCCGCTACAGAGGTGGCCGCCGAACTCGCGGCACCGCTCCTCCGGCACCACCAGCGCCCTCAAGAAGAAGAAGAAGAGACGCAGGAGGCGCCGACGCACACCCAGGGCCGTGGAGGCCCTCCGCGGGGAGAGCAGCGTGGCCATTCTCTCCCCGACGACGTCCAGAGAGTCGTGGGCGCTGCACCACGGGCCGCCCACGCCCATCCTGCGGCCCCTGGGCGCCCAGGTGCCTCGCGCCCCCGAGAACAGCACCCAGTTCATCATGGATGACCACGAGAACTCTGCCTTGTTCGTTGATTTTGATAACTTCAGCACGCCGCACTGGGAGCAGGAGCCGCCCGTCAGCGGCGACGAAGACGACACTGGGAGCGCCACGCCCACGCACGCCCTCACCCGTGACTGGTTCCCCTTCAACGCCGCAGACTTCGAGACCGCGTACCAGAGCGCCCGCGAGGACCGCCTCATGTCCGGCAGTCGTTCTGATCTGCGCACCGCCATAGTGGCCCTGGAGGCCCGCGCAGCTGTCCTGACGGATGCGCTGTCTGCCTCGCCCTCGCGGCTCCTGTTCACCCTGCAGGCACAGCTGCTGCAGCTGCAGGAGGAAAATGCTGTGCTGCGTCAGCGGCTCGCCCGTCAAGAACTGAAGCAGCAGCAGTCGCTCGAGTCGTCGTCCTCTTCATCCACCGACAGCGACTCGGAGTCGGACTCGACCAACTCCTCCAGTGACTGCTCCGAGTCTGACTGCGCCACCTGCGCCGCCCGGCGCAGTGACGCTGTCAAGAAGGAGGAGGAGAAGGAGAACACCTGTCCCAGCCTCACCGCGCACCTGCCCCTCCCAGCCTTACCTTAACAACCCGGCTCCTACAGGCCGGCGGGGGTCCTTACCCGGCTCCCACAGGCCGGCGGGGGTCCTTACCCGGCTCCCACAGGCCGGCGGGGGTCCTATCCGGCTCCTACAGGCCGGCGGGGGTCCTATCCGGCTCCTACAGGCCGGCGGGGGTCCTTACCCGGCTCCCACAGGCCGGTGGGGGTCCTTACCCGGCTCCCACAGGCCGGTGGGGGTCCTTACCCGGCTCCCACAGGCCGGTGGGGGTCCTTACCCGGCTCCCACAGGCCGGTGGGGGTCCTTACCCGGCTGCCACAGGCGGGGGTCCTTACCCGGCTCCCACAGGCGGGGGTCCTTACCCGGCTCCCACAGGCGGGGGTCCTTACCCGGCTCCCACAGGCGGGGGTCCTTACCCGGCTCCCACAGGCGGGGGTCCTTACCCGGCTGCCACAGGCGGGGGTCCTTACCCGGCTGCCACAGGCGGGGATCCTTACCCGGCTGCCACAGGCGGGGGTCCTTACCCGGCTGCCACAGGCGGGGGTCCTTACCCGGCTGCCACAGGCGGGGGTCCTTACCCGGCTGCCACAGGCGGGGGTCCTTACCCGGCTCCCACAGGCGGGGGTCCTATCCGGCGCTGGACCACTACCTAGTAACCCCCCCACCACCAGCTGCCGCCCTTCGGGTCACTCGCCGGAAGGCAGGCAAGCCCCTCGCTCAGTGTTCTCTCAGTTGATGACCAATATTGGCCTCTTAAAATTATTCATTCAGAACCACTCGTTGTCTAGGCGAGGTTAGGTGGGAACTTAAAAACTTAATCCTAGTGGAGTTTAGAAACAGATTTTAAAGTTCAAGTACGGTTATTGAGACAATAAAATCCTTCTCAAAGGGATAGAGTAGCTTAGGCTATTTCTACCGCCCCAAACAGACTGTTTAAGGCAATGTTGGGTGACTCAGATAGCAATGAAGGCTTCTATCATTTTACCATTATCGGGCATGAGGACCGAGCCAGTCACTGTAACACAACAGCCAGATGTTCACACCAGCCATATTGTATGTAGAGAACACCATGCACTTACAAATAGACTTTTTGTTTTGTTTTTGTTAGTCGAGACCCATGTACCGGATTCCAGTTCAACAGCCTTCGTCCAAAAATGTTTTAAGACTTGACCACACTTAGAATGACTGTTAGAGAGTACCTCTTCTCAAAAGGATTCATTTAGACTCTTGTTTATTGTGTATATTGAAGGCATTTGTTCTATGTTAATTTGTGTTATTGAAGAGTTTGGTCTTTTGTTTAACCATCTTCGCTCTTTACTACTCGAGTTCAGATTTTATTTTGTAGATGCAGATAACTTATTAATTACATGATATGATATTCTGATATGCAAAGTTATTATAGTGTTAAAAATGTGTTGTTGTGTATCTTAATGGAACTGTATTTTTTATTTTCATGAGGCATGTTTATTTTGGGTGTGATCACAGGTGTTGCTTCACTAGGGCCCCGCCCTCTCTTATACACCTGCCCTTCCTGCCTCCCCTCTCCCCCCACACATGCTCCCCCCTCACACATGCTCCCCCCTCTCCCCCCACACATGCTCCCCCCTCTCCCCCACACATGCTCCCCCCCTCTCCCCCCACACATGCTCCCCCCCTCTCCCCCCACACATGCTCCCCCCCTCTCCCCCCACACATGCTCCCCCCCCTCTCCCCCCACACATGCTCCCCCCTCTCCCCCCACACATGCTCCCCCCTCTCCCCCCACACATGCTCCCCCCTCTCCCCCCACACATGCTACCCCCCTCTCCCCCCACACATGCTCCCCCCCTCTCCCCCCACACATGCTCCCCCCTCTCCCCCCACACATGTTCCCCCCCCCTCTCCCCCCCTATCCCCCACACATGCTCCCCCCCTCTCCCCCCACACATGCTCCCCCCCTCTCCCCCCACACATGCTCCCCCCTCTCCCCCCACACATGCTCCCCCCTCTCCCCCCACACATGCTCCCCCCTCTCCCCCACACATGCTCCCCCCTCTCCCCCCCACACATGCTCCCCCCCTCTCCCCCCACACATGCTCCCCCCCTCTCTCCCCCCACACATGCTCCCCCCTCTCCCCCCACACATGCTCCCCCCCTCTCCCCCCACACATGCTACCCCCCTCTCCCCCCACACATGCTCCCCCCCTCTCCCCCCACACATGCTCCCCCCTCTCCCCCCCTATCCCCCACACATGCTCCCCCCCTCTCTCCCCCCACACATGCTCCCCCCCCTCTCCCCCCACACATGCTCCCCCCCTCTCCCCCCACACATGCTCCCCCCCTCTCCCCCCACACATGCTCCCCCCCTCTCCCCCCACACATGCTCCCCCCCTCTCCCCCCACACATGCTCCCCCCTCTCCCCCCCACACATGCTCCCCCCCTCTCCCCCCACACATGCTCCCCCCCTCTCCCCCCACACATGCTCCCCCCCTCTCCCCCCACACATGCTCCCCCCTCTCCCCCCACACATGCTCCCCCCCTCCCTCTCCCCCCACACATGCTCCCCCCTCTCCCCCCACACATCTCCCCCCTCTCCCCCCACACATGCTCCCCCCCTCCCCCACACATGCTCCCCCCCCTCTCCCCCCACACATGCTCCCCCCCTCTCCCCCCCACACATGCTACCCCCCCTCTCCCCCCACACATGCTCCCCCCCTCTCCCCCCACACATGCTCCCCCCTCCCCCCCACACATGCTCCCCCTCTCCCCCCACACATGCTCCCCCCCCCCCCCCCCCACACATGCCCCCCCTCCCCCCCCACACATGCTCCCCCCTCCCCCCCCACACATGCTCCCCCCCCCCTCCCCCCCCACACATGCTCCCCCCTCCCCCCCACACATGCTCCCCCCTCCCCCCCACACATGCTCCCCCCTCCCCCCCCACACATGCTCCCCCCTCCCCCCCACACATGCTCCCCCCTCCCCCCCACACATGCTCCCCCCCCCCCCCCCCCACACATGCTCCCCCTCCCCCCCCACACATGCTCCCCCCCCACGCATGCTCCCCCCCCTCCCCCCCCACACATGCTCCCCCCCTCCCCCCCACACATGCTCCCCCCCTCCCCCCCACACATGCTCCCCCCCCACGCATGCTCCCCCCTCTCCCCCCACACATGCTCCCCCCCACATCTCCCCCCACACATGCTCCCCCCCTCTCCCCCCCACATGCTCCCCCCTCTCCCCCCACACATGCTCCCCCCCCCGCCACACCCCCCCCTCTCCCCCCACACATGCTCCCCCCTCTCCCCCCACACATGCTCCCCCCCTCTCCCCCCACACATGCTCCCCCCCTCTCCCCCCACACATGCTCCCCCCCTCTCCCCCCACACATGCTCCCCCCCCCCTCTCCCCCCACACATGCTCCCCCCCTCTCCCCCCACACATGCTCCCCCCTCTCTCCCCCCACACATGCTCCCCCCCCTCTCCCCCCCCACATGCTCCCCCCCCCTCCCCCCACACATGCTCCCCCCTCTCCCCCCACACATGCTCCCCCCCTCTCCCCCCACACATGCTCCCCCCCTCTCCCCCAACACATGCTCCCCCCCCTCTCCTCCCCCCACACATGCTCCCCCCCTCTCCCCCCCACACATGCTCCCCCCCTCTCCCCCCACACATGCTCCCCCCCTCTCCCCCCACACATGCTCCCCCCCTCTCCCCCCCACACATGCTCCCCCCCCTCTCCCCCCACACATGCTCCCCCCCTCTCCCCCCACACTGCTCCCCCCTCTCCCCCCACACATGCTCCCCCCTCTCCCCCCCCACACATGCTCCCCCACACATGCTCCCCCCTCTCCCCCCACACATGCTCCCCCCTCTCCCCACACACATCCCCCTCCCTCCCCCCCACATGCTCCCCCTCTCCCCCCACACATGCTCCCCCCCTCTCCCCCCACACATGCTCCCCCCCTCTCCCCCCACACATGCTCCCCCCCTCTCCCCCCACACCATGCTCCCCCCCTCTCCCCCCACACATGCTCCCCCCTCCCCCCCACACATGCTCCCCCCTCCCCCCCCCACACATGCTCCCCCCTCCCCCCCCCACACATGCTCCCCCCCACACATGCTCCCCCCTCCCCCCCACACATGCTCCCCCCTCCCCCCCACACATGCTCCCCCCTCCCCCCCCCCCCACACATGCTCCCCCCTCCCCCCCACACATGCTCCCCCCTCCCCCCCACACATGCTCCCCCCTCCCCCCCACCACATGCTCCCCCCTCTCCCCCCACACATGCTACCCCCCTCTCCCCCCACACATGCTCCCCCCTCTCCCCCCACACATGCTCCCCCCCTCTCCCCCCACACATGCTCCCCCCTCTCCCCCCACACATGCTCCCCCCCTCTCCCCCCCCCACACATGCTCCCCCCTCTCCCCCCACACATGCTCCCCCCTCTCCCCCCCACACATGCTCCCCCCTCTCCCCCCACCACATGCTCCCCCCTCTCCCCCCACACATGCTCCCCCCCTCTCCCCCCACACATGCTCCCCCTCTCCCCCCCACACATGCTCCCCCTCTCCCCCCCACACATGCTCCCCCTCTCCCCCCACACATGCTCCCCCCTCCCCCCCCCACACTATCCCCCCCTCTCCCCCCCACACATGCTCCCCCCTCTCCCCCCACACATGCTGCCCCCCCTCTCCCCCCACACATGCTCCCCCTCTCTCCCCCCCACACATGCTCCCCCTCTCCCCCCACACATGCTCCCCCTCTCCCCCCACACATGCTCCCCCTCTCCCCCCACACATGCTCCCCCTCTCCCCCCACACATGCTCCCCCTCTCCCCCCCCACATGCTCCCCCCTCTCCCCCACACATGCTCCCCCCCCCCCCCCACACATCCCTCCCCGTATTCAGCCAGCTCCCTGGCTCGTGCCCCCCCCCCCTTCCTCTCTCGCTCCCTCCACATAATCCTCCCTCCCTCCTCGATCCACCCCCCCTTCCATCTCTTGTTCACTCAACACCAATTCCACCCCGACCCTCCCACCTTCCCCACTCGCTTATCCCTCTCCCTTATCTCTCTGGCTCTCCCTACTGTTATTCTTCTCCCGGCCCATAATGTATGTAGGAGCTGTTGGTCTATACACAGTGTCCTCACGGTATACCAACCATAGCTATAATGTTACGCTGCTGAGGCCAGTGGGGGGAGAAGTTAGCATGTGTACCAGTGTGAACCGCCCAAGATGCCATACTATGCATTAGTTATTGTTTATAGCGTGTTGCTCCATCTTGCTGTCAACGAGCATGTTTTGTAAGTGATGAGAGCTGGGACATGAACTTTGTCAAGTGCGGGAAATGAGAGTTGTAAGTGTTGAGCCACGTTTTATGGTGGCCGGTCCAATGACGCAATCTGTCGAAAATGCCCAATTGGTTACACATGTTGAGGCGTGTATTTACAGCTGATTCACACACACACACACTTGGTCTCAGTCTGGTTCACAGTCACAGTGATTATGCTCTATTAACCTCCTATCACACCGGCTAGCCTCATGCAGTTGGGCATGTGTTTACCAAACTGGCCTCGTCATTGTCTCTGGCCGCCACCCCTTATGGTGTCAACCCCCACCCATATCTTGCCACGCTATTCACGTGTCTTCACGCTTCTCCAAACATATGGAATGACTTTGTCATTTCAATGCGAGAGAGAAAGGAGACGATCATTCAACGCCTTGGCAGCTTCTCAACATTAAACAAATCGCAGTGTTTTCCGCATGTGTATTCAGCAGTATATATAATTAAAGTAAATACAACTAAGGTAGAAGACAACTATTTGTGGACTAATATATATATATAGATTATATATATATATATATATATATATATATATAATATATATATATATATATATATATATATATATATATTATAACTGTAGGTTGATGGTTGGGGCAGAACGAGGACCAAATTCTTTAGGCTACCTATTATAAATTGTGTTCATAGTCGTAAACAGCATTGTGTGTGTTCAACACGGTTTAATAGCTTTTTGAACAGTATGAATAAATTAGAGCAGAATTATATGATCCTTCCCCCCCCCCCCCCCCAGTTTCTCGACACACACATGTGGTTAATTTTATTTTCATTTTAAAATTTTGTGTTGCTTAAAACTTCCTTCACATGTTGTCTGCAGGTGGAAAACTGAGATTCCTATTAAAGCCATTTATATTTACTATGAGTGCAGACAGTCATTGTAACCAAATGGTAGTCAGTTTACCTTAAACTCCATGAGTTTGTGTAGTATTTTTATATAGTTCATTATCTTCCATGGCTAGTTTATTATCCCCTAGCTAACCAATATTGAAAATGTCGTTGTGTGTTCATTGAATGTTCTCTTTCCAAATCAGTTACCACTCGCTAGCCTAACATAATCTGCTGCCCGCTGTATCCTGACTGTCAACTAGAAAGGTCTTTCCTTTTTATCACATTGTTTATTTTAATTGATATTTATTTTATTTATATTTGGATCTTGATATACACATAATTGGAAGTTGTTTAAATGAAGATGCCTTTAAAGTTTGTGATGCGCAAAGGTGATTGACTTGGTTGACTAGTTTT